CAACAACTCCACCAGCTCATAGAAAAAGTGTGGGTGACCGAGAAAATCCCAGCAGATTTCAAGGATGCCACCATCATCACCCTCTTCAGAAAAGGGGAAAGAACAGACTGCGGAAACTATCGAGGTATCTCCCTTCTAACCTCCGCTGGGAAAATCCTCGCAAGAATCCTTGCAAACCGCCTTCTGCCCCTCTCAGAAGACACCCTCCCAGAATCCCAGAACGGCTTCCGCCCCTCCAGAGGAACCGTGGACATGATCTTCACTGCACGACAGCTCCAAGAAAAATGCAGGGAACAAAACCAACCTCTGTACATGGCATTCATCGACCTTGCAAAGGCATTCGACACAGTGAATCGCAGCGCTCTCTGGACCATCCTCCACAAAATCGGGTGCCCTAACAAATTTGTGAACATCCTGCGGCTCCTCCATGATGACATGATGGCAACAGTCTTGGACAGCAATGGCTCCCAAAGTGACCCATTTAAGGTGGAATCAGGTGTCAAACAGGGATGTGTTATTGCCCCAACTCTATCCTCCATCTTCATCGCTATGATACTTCACCTTGTTGATGGGAAGCTTCCCACCGGAGTGGAAATAATCTATCGGACAGATGGCAAGCTATTCAACCTCAGCAGACTGAAAGCCAAAACCAAGGTTACAACAACATCTGTTATAGAACTCCAGTATGCTGATGACAATGTCGTCTGTGTGCATTCAGAAGAAGATCTACAAGCCACTCTAAACACCTTCGCAGAAGCATACGAGAAGCTCGGCCTGTCATTGAACATTGAGAAAACCAAAGTGCTCTTCCAGCAGTCACCAGCCAATCCCTCTCCAATGCCAGAGATACAGCTTAATGGTGTAACATTAGAAAATGTGGACCATTTTCGCTACCTTGGCAGCCACCTCTCCACCAAAGTCAACATCGACGCCGAAATACAACACCGCCTGAGCTCTGCAAGTGCAGCATTTTCCAGAATGAAGCAGAGAGTGTTTGAGGACCGGGACATCCGTAGGGAGACCAAGGTGCTTGTCTATAAAGCTATTGTCCTCCCAACCCTGCTCTATGCCTGTGAGACGTGGACTGTCTACAGACGTCACATGCAGCTCCTGGAACGTTTCCATCAGTGCTGCCTCCGGAAAATCCTGCAAATCTCCTGGGAAGACAAGCGGACAAACGTCAGTGTGCTGGAAGAAGCAAAGACCACCAGCATTGAAGCGATGGTCCTCCAACATCAACTCCGCTGGGCCGGCCACGTTGTCCGGATGCCTGACCACCGTCTCCCAAAGCAGTTGCTCTACTCTGAACTTAAGAATGGAAAACGGAATGTTGGTGGGCAGGAAAAGAGATTTAAAGATGGGCTCAAAGCCAACCTTAAAAACTGTGGCATAGACACTGAGAACTGGGAAGCCCTGGCCCTTGAGCGCTCCAGCTGGAGGTCAGCTGTGACCAGCAGTGCTGCAGAATTTGAGAGGCACGAGTGGAGGGTGAAAGAGAGAAACGTGCCAGGAGGAAGGCGCGTCAAGCCAACCCCGACCGGGACCGCCTTCCACCTGGAAACCAATGCCCTCACTGCGGAAGAAGATGCAGAGCAAGAATAGGGCTCCACAGCCACATACGGACCCAGAAGGAAATCCATAATGGAAGACCATCTTACTCGTCCAACGAGGGATCGCCTAAGTAAGGTTTATGTTTTATGATGTGTTGTACTGTTTTTGTTTTAATTCATTGTATTGCAATTCATTTTAATGTGCTATATTTTAATTCTGTTTTGATGGGGCCTGGTCCTCATGTGAACTACACTGAGTCCTTTCGAGGAGATGGTGGCAGAATATAAGAATAATGTTGTTGTTGTTGCTGCTGTTGTGCCTATTCTATCTGATACTGATCATTGTTACCATCTCTGATATTTCACAATACAGGCAGTCCCCAAGTTAGAACAAGATAGGTTTTGTAGTCTAGGAAACAAAACAAAACAAAACCCCAGGGAACAACAGCCCCCCCAGCCACCTCAAATACAAATTATATGGAAATACTATTTTCTGCACAGAAAACATTGTTTCCTAAACAGCAAATCATTTCTGCAGAAGTGTGAATTTTATGCAGACTAAGTCCTGAACTGCATATATTCTTTTCAGTCCAGGATTTTCCTCATCACAGTTTTTTCAACAACCAGGAAACATATATTTCTTCATGTTTTGAAATATTTTTGAATATTCTTTCTATCTTTACTCTTTCCTCCTGGTGGCACCTGAATGTTGCTTTGTGACATTCCTTCACCACTAAATGGCTGCTCTTCCCTTGTGCTACAAATGTATGTGCACTTACAACATTTGGGGAATGTCATGAGATAGTGAAGGAGACCCTGGTGTGCCATACTGAGATTTCATTCTGCCCTTGCAAACTAAAAGGAACCTCACCATTCTTCAACATCTCAAATTGCATTTATGAAAAAGGGGTGGGCAATTTGCACAGATCATGTGCCTGCCCCTCCCCTGGATGTTGGAGTACCATACGTGTTTCTGTATCCACAAGACATTTTATTGAACCTAGAAAGAGCCACAACCCTTCTCCAGACTGGGGGAGGGATTTTGAACTTGTGGGGAGGCTAGCCATCAATGGGATGCAGCAGCTTTAAAAGTCCAATTCTGGACACCACAGTTTAAAAGAAATATTGACAAACTGGAAGGTGTCCAGAGGAGGGCAACTAAAATGATCAAATGTTTGGAGACCATGCCAGTCGGGTGCGGCTTAAAGAGCTGGGTATGTTCAGCCTGCAGAAGAGAAGAGTGAGAGGAGACATGATAATTGTGTATAGATATTTGAAAGAATGTCAAAACGAAGAGGGAGTAGGCTTGTTTTCTGCTGCCCTGGGGACTAGTACCCAGAACAATAGATTCAAATTACAGGAAAGGAGATTTCGCCTCAGTTGTTCCAACATCTAGAAGAATGGGCTTCCAGGATGCAATGACTGCTTAAATGATGTATCTCTAGCCTGACATGAGAACAGCATGGGAATAATCCTTCTATCGACAGTGAACGCAAAAAGGAACAGGTTGTATTACTCCATTTAAAACTCAGACAATAATTTTTACAAAATACTGATAAAGATTTCATGTTCTTCAGAACGTTATCCATCCATCACTTTATTTATATCCCATCCTTTTTGCCAGACTGGGAATTAAAATGGCATACAAAAGACAGAAAATTACAATAAAAAGTTCACACAAATACATATGAAGCAAATTTGAGTAAAGAGGAGACAATGACATTTTTTATATTAAGTACATTAAAGAAAGTCTGCATATGATCAACATGGTGGACTGAAGCAGGAGGAGAAATAGTTGATTTCAAGGTGAACAATCACATTAATGAAGTTAACAATCCAGTTTGATAGTAACTAATTACCAATAACTAGTTACTTGTGATTCCTTCCTTCCCAATAATAAAGATAGAACTAAGTTAAATTAAAGTTCTAACTACAGTAGTTAACAAGGGATACCTTCATGCCTTGTAATATGTAACTGTAATTTTATGAATATTTTGTTATCGTCACATGGATTTTGTGTCCTCCCCAAAAGGTGGAGGAAGACTATCAAAGTGTGTGAATTCTAATGTGTCGAGAATTTCCAAAACAGAACAAGTCCAAAACAAATGAAAGAGCAGGCTTCCTCCATGCAAAAATAATCTCCGTTTAACAAATACTCATAGGCCAGCATGGTGCAGTAATTTGAGTGTTGGACTAGAACTCTGGGAGGCCAGACATTTCTGCTCAACTACAATGTGAATGTGGGCAACACACACTCTCTCAGTCTCAAAGGAAAGCAGTAACAAAACCCCTTTGAATAAGTCTTGTAATGAAAACTCTATGATAGGCTCACCTTTGTAGGGCATCTATACTTTTTTGTGCATTCTCTTATAAGCAGGAATTGACCAAAGGCACACAAAACAAGCAACAAGGTCTTAGAATGCTCAGTGGCCTGGATGTGGCATGAAATACTATATATCAACTGGAAAAATAATTTAAAATATCTTAAATTACTAATCTTAAATATTTTACCATTTGCTCTCTTATACATGACATTGGGTTCGACACTTAACAAAAAGAAAATCTGGTTTAAGGGAAAGACAGGTACTCCTTATGGTTGATATGATGCAACTGGTTATGTACACGTTTTTAGAGCTATAAGATTCATAATCCATGACCATGACTCATGCTGCTTGAGACTTATGTCATCTGCAGCCCAAAGCATTGCAGGAACACCAGTTTGCCTACAATTGCCTAAGTAAAAATATTTCCAAGTCCATAGTAAAGGTAAAGGTAGTCCCTGACATTAAGTCCAGTCATGTCTGACTCTGGGGTGTGGTGCTCATCTCCATTTCTAAGCCGAAGAGCCAGCGTTGTCCATAGATGAGTATTTTTTAAGGAATGTTTCCCCATAATTTATTGAAGAGTTTCTATGTACCCAGTGGTGGTTGGGATCACGAATTGCAGTTTGGCTTATTTAATGTTTTGAAGCAGTAGAAAAGAATCTATTGTAGACAACTAAATCCAGATCTCAAGTTGTCTACATTTTTTTCACCTGGTAGAATTTGGAATGTACATTTGATAGATAATTCTGCTGCCTTGTAGAGGTCCCCAATTTAAACAATTTGATAAAGGAGTCAGTTGCCCTGATAAGTAAATGACCAAACAACAGACAAAAGAAGGAAGAGGTCCCAATCAACCAAATTTGTTAAGAAGCATTGCTGTTGTTGTGGTCACACAATAAATTATTTCATTATGTTGACCCTAATGGAAATTCATCACAGGGTTTTCTTTTCAAAATTTGTTTAGAGGCAGCTTGCCTTTATCTTTCTTCTAGGCTGAGAAAGAGTGACTTGCCCAAGGTCACCCAATCGGTTTCCATTCCCAAGTAGGGACTTGAAACCTGGTCCCCAGAATTCTAGTCCAACGCTCAAACCACTACACCATGTTGGCTCACATTGGTGCATATTGTAGTGCATTGTATATATATTATGCAACAATGTGCCTAAATATAATGCATTTATTTACTGTATTTATACCCTGCCCTTCTCACCATGAAGGGGACTAGGAGCAGCCTTACAATAGGCAACCATTTGAATATAATTGTCTTCCCTTCCTTCTTTTAGGTATTGTGGAAAAAGAAGAAGCAAACAAGAAGGAAAGGTTAAAATGGATCCTGAAAGATTTTCATTTTTGTGAAAATTCCAACATCCCTATTTCAGAGTTTAAAAATATTATTTTTGTGGACCCCAACTTTCAGAAGCCCCAACTAGCAAGCTAGAACAAATTCAGCTCAAAAAAGTATCTTGAGAGGAATTTTGCTGTAAATCTTGCCTTCTACATGGGATGTCACAACAACAGCATGATTGTTTATCATTAATATTTGATATGTGTAATTTATATAAAAGATACGTATATAGCCCATGCAAAAAAAAATCCCCCAGAAGTCTAACTGCAAATATTTAAGACAAAAGGGAGCTCCTTTTCTGTTCATGCATGTTCTTCAGTTTCTGAAACTGAGATGAGAAGATCCAGAAAAAGATGGTATCAATATTCAGTTGGATAGAAAGTTGTTTCCTGCAACAGAGAATGGATGATGTGATCAATTCTGTTCTCAATATTCTGTTCTCAAGTACTTTGAAGCTTCATTAACATGATGGTCCAGCAGATTGTTGAATGAGAAATTAAAAGAGAGAGAAAGAGAGAGAGGGAGAGAGAGGGAGAAATAGTGCAGGACAAGGGTTCCCTCTCTTTCCTTTGCCTCAAAGCTACCTTGGAAAATGCTGTTCTTTCTTTTTTGGAAGTGAGAATATGTCTGTTCTTTCCCCCTAGATGATTACTTAGAAATGTTTATGTGTGTGAGGGGGGAGGGCTTAGAAATATTGCTTTTGGGATCACCAGTTCAGATTCAGGGCTGTTGAGACTTACGTATTATCTTACTTGATAGCTTATCATTCAGTTCTACATTTGGTTCACATCTTGGGGAGCAATCCAAAATTCCCAGAGAGAGAGGCTAAGGTGACTTCAGATGTTCTATTCCTTCTCCACCAGTGGGAAAAAAGGATCCACAGAAAGAGAAGAATTATGGCTCAGCAGTAAAGTTCACCCATAATCAGCACACGATGCCTTATGGGCCAACAAATTACATTGTCTAAAACAAGAAAGTATTTCAGTAGCAAAAGGAAGTGGAGTCTGTGGCATGGTCATTGTGTGTGTGAAGGTGCCTGCAAGTTGCTTGTCAAGCTAAGGCAACCTCCTGAATTTCATAGGTTTTTCTCCACCAATGAATATTTAGAAGTGGTTTTTGTCAGTTCCTTCCTCTAGTGCAGTGGTTCTCAAACTGTGGGTCTCCAGATGTTTTGGCCTACAATTTCCAGAAATCCTAGTCAGTTTACCAGCTATTAAGATTTCTGGGAGTTGAAGGCCATAACATCTGGGGACCCACAAGTTGAGAACCACTGCTCTAGTGGGTGTAAAATGAAAAGCAACTTGAGATCCTACATCAGCTTGTTCACAATGTAACATCCCACCAGTGTAATTCTGCCCCAGGACAACTTATATTGTCCATGTCAGAATACACACCTATCAACAAGGGAAAGAAAGTGACTATCCCAGATCTCCAACAAAAGCACATGAATATCCTAGAGATGTGGAAGATCTCTTCTACCAGCTGCATAGCTTTAGAGAGCCTGGGTGCTTCTGTCCTCTAGCTACTAATTAATAGATGTAACATACTACAATGTGGAAAGACCCCATTGTCCTTGAGGAAGGGCATTGTAGAGGGAAGCACTGAATATTGAAGTATCTCTTGTGCAAGAACCAAAATAGTTTCTACACAGGTATAACAGGAAGTTATGTCATTGATAGGATCCCAGACTATCTATCTAACCTAGTCCTGCTACAATTGCATTTTCTATAAATCCACTATGTTTTCAGGATTGCTGTCATTCATTGAGTATCTTTGGAATCATTCCAAGATTATAGCATCCATTAGCTCCAAAAGCTTGTTTCACACTACCTCCTCCAACATTATTTTCATTGTTTCTTTTCTGAGAAGTGTCAAGGATGGACAAAGGGAGAAGAAAGCACAGGTGAGCAGCCTCTCATTTGAGCACTGCATCAATCATATAGTCGGAGGCTCTCCTTGGAGCAATCCCCTTCATTTTCCCCTCTTCCTCTCCACGTTTTGCAGTTATGACATTGTGGAAGGAAGGTAAGATATTATCACTACATGGAAGGGGACAAGCAGAAAATCAAAGCCAAGGAATCCTGTCCTCCTGTGTTTCATCTATCTTGCCACACATCCAGGCAAGCAACATAACTCTGCCCTCCCATTGTGCCACTTCTAAGGGTTTTTTAAATGTTCAAATCCTTGTTAAATGGAAATAAGATAAAAAGTAAAACCTTTCTTTTACTCTGAAGGAGAGTGGGAGTGAAGGACAATTCTGCCCCCGGATGTCACATGCCAGCACAGAAGAGGCTGGAGTCACTGCACCAAATAGTTGCATCTCCATGGTATGATCAAGGGATATGGCTGATTTTGTTTATAAATAGCAGGGAATAAGTTTGTTGTTAAAAAGTGGCAGATGGACAAAGTGTTGTGCATGGCATCATGCAATAAGAACCATCACCTATGATGGTCATCCTGCTTCTATGCCAGTTTGCTAGCTTGTGCAGTAAAGTTCTACATTTAGTTTGTGTCTATTCTGCAACAAAACGGAATTCGGATGGAATAAAATGTTTTACCTGGAAGCATGAGGATTCAAAAAGACAAGAATGACCAAAAAAAGAGGGAATGGGGGGATTAAAACAATTCCACTCTCTTCTTTGATGGCATAAGCCCTGGAAAAACTTGAGTTAAGATTCCTCTGCCATCTCTCCTATAGCACTGCTCTGCTAATGCCCCTTTGAACAATTGAACTATAGGCCATGTTCTCTTGCCCCACAGGTTGAGTAAGGTAAGCAAAAGCAGCAGAGTGAGGTATTTGAACAGACCAATTGCTTTAGTCATGATAATCATCTTCCTGTAGTTCCTAGCTCCCTGTCTTGTGTTATACATATCATAACAAACTGCAGATGGCAAAATGGCATGCAAATAAAGTTCTTTGTCATATATTATGATACCTTATCTGCAGCCCCTGGCACAATTGTGGTAACAGCATCGTTGTCTTCCTGGACAGTCACGGTCATGACCACAACGATGTATCCCGGGGACAGGGCAGCTATGCGGAAATCGTTGGCAATTCCAAGGCATCACTAAACAGGTATAGCAGGATAGACAAGGATAATTGTTAACCAAACAGCCAAACTCTGATGAATACATTGTCATGTTTATTTTGTCTACAGGGCAACCCAATTGTCTCTGCTGAAAAGCCATATAGGAACTCATGGTCAGAATGTATATAACAGGGGTTTTTATAGGTCTGTTCAAATATGCCATCAGAATGATGATACATGGCTTCAGAGCATATCTTGAACCCTTTTGAAGCCCTAACCATGTTTTTTCAATCCTTGCTCCAAAGCCTGCAGAGAAAGGGGAAATACTGCCTGTCCCGTTCTGATGCTTCCTTTGATAGGATAAGAATTGTCACCACTTATTTCTTTTATAGCCCTTATGAAGGGCCTCAGCAATTCTATACACATGGAGCCAAAACAGAGAGGAAAAATGATGGTACTAGGTTTTGTTTTTGTTTTGTTTTTTTGAACCAACAGAAGAAGGAAGAGTCTCAGACACAAGAACTCATACCAAGCAAGTTCATAAGAAATAAACAACATGCCCCAGACATCTGATTGGAACTGTATCTGTTGTTTCAAAGATATCAAAATAATAACATGGGCTATTATATTAAAATTGTCTGAAACAGATTGTTTCTATCATTTTTGTGTTTATATAGTTCTTGTCATCTTCTTTGGCTGTTGATATTAAAAATGTCTGAAATGTAATATACTATTTTTATTCTTTCTCTGAGGCATGTTTGTTTATTTCTTATGGTTTTGTATGAGTTATTATCTTTAAATACTTCTAATCTGAAATGCCAGAAACTACTTTTAAATAGCAGAACAAGACTGACAGACACAGTAGTGCAACCGCATGTCTCAAATTTGACCCCAAAAGGAATTAAAGAGGACATAACTGCGTAAGGATCCCTTGGATGGATCCTGCAATAAAGAAAGGCTAGCACATTTCATTTCATCATATTATTATGAACAAATGCAATATAATGAAAGAGTAATTTTGTATTATTAAAATCAGTGGTGGGCCATGTATGATCTGGTATGGGCTTGCCCAATTTCAAAAACACTTGATACAGTCCCATACTGAGATGTGTGTATTTGTTTGTTTATTTATTTTATAGTCTGCTTTTCTCCTATCTGGAACCCAAAGTGGGTCAAACTGCTTATTAAAACAAAAACAATCTTGACTGATATTGTTTTTAAGAATTAAATATAATACTATTCAATAAAAAACTTTTAAAACATTTAAAAGGATGGTAAAACCTCCCCATTTCACTCCCACAAACAGATTAAAATCTGAAGCCCTATTTAAACAGGAAATTCCTGGCCTGCTGACAGGAAAAAGCAAGGATCTGGATAACAGATCCTACATTCACAGAAAGTTCCATAGCCTAGGAGCAGCCACTGAAAAGGCTCTCTCCTGGGTCCTCATAAGCTGTACCAATGAAGATGGTAGAACCAAGTAAAATCCATTCCCTAAATATGTTAAGACTTGGATAGGGAGATACTGTATTTCTGATAGCCTGAAGCTAAGCCATATAGAGCTTTTCATTCTCCAGGATGCGTTAGTTCTCTCCATGCATATCACTGAAACACCTACATAGACAATGAACTCTAAGGCTTGTCTGGAGTAGTATTACTCCTGATAGGTTCTCTGAGTGGCTATACTGCCTATCTCCATCCATCTCCATGCAGTAGAGTCCAGACTGGATGGTTCACCTTACCTTGGATATTTCTGTCAATGCTGCCAGACAGCCCTGGAGCTCTGGGAGAGATCCTGGTCATTTCCCATGTGACCAAGGAGAAGGAAGGGGGATTTCAATGGCTCCCAGCATCAGCAAGAAACACTCCAGAGCTGGTGGTTGTTGTTGTTGATGATGTTAACCTTATTTATATCCTGCCTTTCTACCCATGGGGACCTAAGGTGGTTAGCTTGATATGGATCTAATCCCCCTTTCCCTATGTTGTCAAATGCAAATAGAAGTCTTGGCCCACATGGAGAGTGGACTGGTTAGGATTAGAACCAGTTCATCTGTGCACACTAAGAAATGGGGTGAATTAAGTGTCCCAGGATGCTTTCACCCCGTCTAGAGGAAGGAATCCCATTACGGACAACACACAATGTTTCACCCCATACAGGGTGAAAGTGTCACCGGCCTTTATGACGAAGCTGTAATTCTAAGTTGTAGGGCTAATCTGGAGTTTCACTAAAACTCCAGAGCTTTCCTTGAATTCACATAATGTAGAGCTAATCAATTTTCCCCAATACAGACCAAAAATCAATGGATGTTGTCTGGATTTCTAGGTTCAGAGAATAAATGGAAACAATATTTACAAGAAGTACGTAATGCTTACTTGGAGGTGGTGGTGGTGGTGGTGGTGGCGGCGGCAGTGGCATTCTGCAGCTTCTGCCACAACGATAGTTACAACATCTTAGGTTTTGTGGGCAGTCATAGTCATGTCTGCAGCGACGGATTATTCCTGGTATAGAGCAATAAAATGGATTTCCATGGCAAAAACGAGAAAACTCTGAAATGCAGAAAAAGTGACAGTATTTAACGTTATCAGTATACAGAAGGATTGCATTGCAGCTATGCTATTGATTGCCAAATTTACATTTGAATTGATGATCAAGTTGCTTGATACTTTGAGTATGTAAAACCTGGTTTTTGTGCTTTTTAACTTCTGTTTGCTCAGTAAACAACGTATTATATATAATTCTGTACCACCTATCTTTTAAAAAATAAATTGTGGTTGATTCAGATATGTCCACATGTTGTCCCATAGACATACAGCTTAAATAAATCTAACCTTTAATTATTTTTTACCCCTTCTTAAAAGCCTACACATTTCTACAGGCAGATAATATTTACTTGGTTATTTTCACTCATTGCCATTTTAATTCCTTTTTAATATCCTGTAATTGTGATCCTTCAATTTGTGTTGTTTTTGTGAGAATTCTTGGTTGTTAGGTTCCATAGGCATCAACACATAGAAAAAGTAGGTACGAATTTTACTTCAATAAATGAAATTCAATGATGATCACATCAAAGAAGCAGTATATCAGATTATATAGAGCACTGGAGGACATTAAGCATCAAGGCTTTCAATAGCCTTTATAGAAGCATCAAAACCATGACATCTCAAAAGCAGAATTGTTGTTGTAACCTAAATATTATTTCCCTTGTTCTTTTCAGTTAAAAGTAAATGAAAGATTCACAATACATAGTCCTATACATGTTTACTCAGAAGTGAAATTCCACTGACTCCACTGGCTCTTGCTTCAGAGAAATATTTAATTTGGGAATGGGACAACCTCATTAAATACTACTAACTGCCATAGTTCAACCCTATAAATCCTGGGATTTTCAGTTTGAGGTACTAAAAATTATCTATAGATAGGCACTTGTGTGCTTTACCAGAGTATTCCAAGTATCTCAGCAAACAGATTCCAGGATTCTGTAGAGTGGAGCCATGGAGAAGTAACATGAAACTGATTTAACTGTGTTATGCAGATACACATTACATCACATGTATACACAGAGATAGATAGATAGATAGATAGATAGATAGATAGATAGATAGATAGATAGATAGATAGATAGATGACAGATAGATAGATAGATAGACGCGCGCACGCACACACACACACACACACGAATGGCCTTATTCTGCATGAACTCCATTTGACTTTTTTTCAGCTCTTAGGCAAAATTCAGAGCCATTTCACTCCCCCTTAATCCCCAATTTATGTAGTATCAAACATTTTGTTTCAGTACTAAACCTTCCTCCAGTGTAGCTATTATGGACACTGCCACCACTTTTCTAAACCTTGTCATGTGGAAGAATGGTATAATATCAAGTATTGATGTCCTAGAGAAAGAGTGTGGTGCAGTTATTTGACTGCTGAACAAGAGCACTAGGAAACAAGGATTTGAATCTCTGGTCAGCCATGGAAACCTACCGAGTAATCATAGGCAAGTCACACACTCTCATCCTCATAAATGACAAGAGAAAAACCCTTGTGAACAAATCCCTTGGACCTTGGTTCAAACTTCTGTTTAATCATGAAGTTAATCTGGCCCAAAAAAAATCATGACAAGTTTGCCTGGGGTCATCATAAATAAAACAAATCTTGAAAGCACACAAGAATTTTCAACCAGCCTTAATAATTAAAATATGACTTTCCCTAACACTATACCAAAAATATCCTCTTCCACAATTCTATATCTTACCTAATGGAACTCTGTAACAAGTGGTGGAAGGTAATTCTACCTCAAAGACTAGAAGACCCACAAGGAGGAAAGCCGTCAGTCTCTTCATGATGACCTCAGGAACCAGTGTGAGCCTTTAGAAAGGAGCAAGACTTGTATTTAAATGGCATGTACAGCTAAGGTTGAAATTATACCTTTCCACATTTTCCTCATAATTAATATCAATTGCATTACAATTTTCAGAAACGTCAAATAAGTGCATTGTTTTTTTATGGACTACATGTGCTTTGGTCAGGAAAGGACAGTGCATCAAGGACAAGGTTGATGATGCTTATAATGCTCCCTGATAAACATCCTCAGATCAAAGACTTTTTGTTAGCCGCAACCTAATTGCACCTTCTTTTAGCACGTGAATCAAACTCATCCTGGGAATCATTCAAAGGCTGGGTTTGTCTTGGCAAAGAAGTTGCACTTCCTATATTCTAGCTAATAACCGGAGATGTCACATTTCCAGAGAAAGAGAGAGAACAAAACAGCCACAGGGTAGGGCAAGGCATGGTTTTGTGCACAGGGCTGACTGCTTTCAGAAGCAGTACTGTATGTATACCATCCAATCCAACTCCAATAAGCTCAGGAATAGGCTTAGCTTAGCAGGTCATAGTGGAATCAGAGTAATACTTGAAAATATATACCCCACCCCATTTCCTAATAGTTCAAAGAAGCATAGAAACCCCTCTTTTTGGACTTCACCTCCAAATATACCTCAGATTGCATGACCAATAGTTTTCCAAACTCTGAGCAACCAACATGGCATTCCAAAATTGCTAGTTAATTTCTCATTCTTAGAACCTATCATTATGAGGTATTGCTGAGGGAGATTGCCCATATTAATACAATAACAAACAAACCAAAATTTAGGGGCAGGAAATAGTCAGTCTCTCAGAGCTGGGGAAAGTTATTGTTTTCCCACGTTCATGGTTCCCCTAGTGTTGAAAGAATGCTAGGGTTTTTCAATCAAGAAATGGCAAATGTCATTCATTTCTCAAGTGCCTCAAGCAGTCGCTGAACTGGATATGCTCTTTAATTCTAAGCAGCCAACGTTTGTTCTTACTATAGTTCTTATGAATTTGGATAGACTAGTTTTAGTGCAGGGCCACATTAGTTTCATGATTAAACAGAAATTTGAACCAAGATTCAAGGGTTCTCCTTCATCCAAGGTAAGACAAAATGAAATCCAATGCTCAAGTTATAACTGATTTCATTTCCTTAAATCCTTAATTTATCTTGTGGGGTTGGAATGACCAAATTAGTTCTCATAACAGACATATCAACATAACTGTTCAATTTCCTCTGAACTCCTTATTATAAGTTGAGAGGCCAAATGTTCAGTGAAACACTTCCTGCTATAAGTATTCTGACTCAATGTAATTTCCCCCCTTTGTTTTTGGAAAACTAAACTTTGGGTGCATTTATACTGTGGAATTAATGCAATGCAGATTGACACCACTTTGACAATACAATACAATACAACACAACACTATAGAATCCTGGGAATTGTACTTTGAGGAGGCACCAGCACACTTTAACAGAGAAGGCTAAAGACACTGTAAAACTACAATTCCCATGGGGTCAACCATCATTAATTCGACAGAGTAAATGGATCTATACTTTTAAATCTTTCAAAGATATATGCCACTGTTTTCGCAGTCAGCAAACAAGCACTGGTGGGGTTAGTTTGTTTTACTAGCTCAGATTGTTTGAGCTCGGCAGTTAATGAGCTTGTTCCAGGAGTATCTCCTCCACACAGCCCCAAAGACGCTTCTTCCTGGAATACTAGTGAGTTGTTGCCGGAGTTTATATTTTCTTTATCCGAGGGTAAGCAACTGTTATCAGTAATTAATGGATACAGTTCTGGTGTACTCACGTTTCCCACAAGGTCYTCTATCTTTAGTTGTTTGGAAGGTTTATGCTGTTTGAGTGTCTCTGGGCTGGACCTTGTRCGTTTGTTTTTGTTTTTGTCTCTTTTGTTTCCCATTTGTAGAAGCAYAGATAAGTTGCAGGYATGGAGTATAAAAAATAAAAGAGATAAAAAACTGGAAGTGGTAAGCTTCCTTAAAATGCCTTGGAGCTTSWTTCAAATSGASTAGKAGCMTCKACTRCTCAAGGCAACTCGTTGCAMKTMAATCAMWRRGCKGTSGSATAMARCWWMSAAKGWTMGTAKWGGAGTGAMAACAAACCAAATWGAGCAGTTAAGGCTCTCTTTTGACTCTTTTGCTCAGAAGAATGAGGCCCCAAAGGGAAGCTCAGTTCAACCAGCTCAAACGGTCGGTATGGGYCCCAGAAGGGAGGCAAATACAAAGGATGAAAAGCCCTACACAAAGGTAGCTAGAGGTTACTCATTTACTTCTACCAAGTGTAATAGAATCCTGCAAGTAAACCAGATAAGGCTGCGAATTGCCAACAACAACATAAACAAGGGTAGATGGAGATCATACAGAACTATCAGAACATCGTTGGGTCAGCTACTACGTATACCCCCTCCAAGTGTGGACCTAATTAAAGTGAAATGGTTACCCCAAGTCTCTGCAGACAAGAAATGGATCTATAGATTTATTAGCCATGTCAGAGTTACATATTCAAATACAAGCCATTAGCAAAATTCTTGAATGTGATGAGGAGGTCACATGCTTCCAGAATGTGAAAAAGGATGGGGTGGAATATAAAGATGCCATCAGATCTGGCCATGGGGGGCTTACATGTCATTTTAAGTACTACAAAACATTTTAGAGAACAACTGTGATGTGGTAATTTGTTTTGTTTTTTCTCGTATGAGGAGTGACTTGAGAAACTGCAAGTTGCTTCTGATGTGAGAAAATTGGCTGTCTGCAAGGACATTGCCCAGGAGATGCCCAGATGTTTTGGTGTTTTTATCATCCCTGTGGGAGGCATCTCTCATGTCCCCGTATGGGGAGCTGGAGCTGGCAGAGGGAGCTCATCCATGCTCTCCCCGGATTCGAACCTCCAACCTGTCGGTCTTCAATACTACCAGCACAAGGGTTTAACCTATTGCAACACCGGGGGCTCCAGTAATTTGGGTGTTGCACTAGAATTCTGGGAGACCAGAATTCAAATTCCCATTTGGCCCTGGAAACCTACTGGATGACCTTGGGCAAACCATGCTATCTCAGCCTCAGAAGAAAGCCAAGTAAACCTTGTGATAGGCTCACTTTAGGGACACTAGAACTTGGACATAATTTGAAGCTGCACAATGCTTGCAACAGCAACAATGGGACTGCATTTAAAAGCCAAACTATAGACTGTGGCCATTCACACAGAGGACATGACTCCCTTGTTAAATAGCAAAATGCTAATTATGCCCTATAAATCATGCACAAGACCAAATACTCCCTTGTTCACCTTCTCACTCCTTAAGATTCTTGTACTTTTTTTTGATAATTTTTCTCATGTGTTTTTATTGCTGTTTTATTTGATGAGGTTTCCTAATTGGGGTGTGTTTGTATTTCAGTTTTAATGTCTTAATTATAACTTGTCTATTTTATTTGTGTTTATGGTCAGCTGGCTTTGAGCATTAACTTTAGTAGACAAGCTGGATTTTTATTTTTACAGGTATGCCTTAGTTAGCAACGCCTCTTTTCCAGTGAAGATGCTTCTTTCAAGAGTGGCCTGCATTTTCTAACAGCTACTGAATTAAATATATAGAGTTAAGTATATACTATCAGCTACTTAATTAATTCTACTTGGTAAAGTAGGTTGTGTTTGTGAGGGGGGGAGGGGTGCTATCATGGTAATAGTGTCAAAGTCATGACAAAGTAACAATCACAAATATGAAGCAGTTATGAATGAGTAAATATAGGTAACGCTTTTATATTCACTCTTGCTACTTAGTCGTGATTGTGACAATCCCCCCCCCCCCACACACACACACACACACACACACACTTTACAGTGCATCAGCAGAATAGGAAAGAAGACTTCCTTTCTGGAAAATGTTGAACGAGAATTTAATGACAGATTTGGGGGCAGCATCAGATTGGGAAAGGTGACATAACTAAGTTAAATCTCTTTAATTAATTCTATTAAGCTATTACGTCCTTTCTCTTGCTTGCACAGGTTGAGTATCCCTTATGCAAAATGCTTGGGAACTGAAGAATTCTGCATTTCAGATTTTCCCTCCCCTCAATTTTGGAACACTTGCATATACATGAGATATCTTGGAGTTGGGACCCAATTCTAAGCAATAAATTAATTTCATCCCGGAAGCCTTGTTTTCACTCTTGCATTATTAGATTTCTCTTCACCTATGCTATCAAGTAGCCAAATAGCCTGGGCACCATTATTTTCACTGTCTATTATCCAGTTCACTTGACTGTCTGGTAGAAATATTTAGAAGAAAAATAAGAAACATTCATTATAAAGAAAAGGTGATGCCAAAACAGCTGCAAAGGGAAGTGACAATGGCAGTGCTTGAATACTAGTGAGTATTGCCGTAATTAATAAGTTAGATTTTGGTTTGGGGAAGTATGTAATTTGGGGCAAGGGTACAAAGAAAGCACTGTTTCTCCATTAACTTATATGATTCTTTCCTTGCTAATTTTAAGTGTTGTCTTCATTCTTTAAAAAATGGGGACATTTCTTCTTCCAAACATTGGTCTGTTTCTATATATCAGTTTGCCCCAAAATTAAGTCTATATTGACTATAGCTTAGTCAGATTGTTGTTATTCTGCTCTGTCAAGTTGTTTCTGACTTATAGTGACCCTAATGCAATCCTATCATGGGGTTTTGTTGCCAAGATTTCTTCAGAGAGGGTTGCACATTGCTTTCTTCATAGGCTGACTTACCCAAGTTCACCTAATGGTTTTCCATAGCTGAAACAGAGACTCAACGCTTGTTTTCAGAGTGTTAAGTTGCATCTGCACTATAATATTCATGTAGTTTAATACTACTTTAACTGCCATGGCTCAATATTTTGGAAGCCTGGGATTTGGAATTTGGTGAAGCACCAGCACTTTTTGGTAGAAAAGGAGAAAGACCTTGTAAAATCACAATTCCCATGATATCTTTACATTCAACCATGGCAGTTAAAATGGTGTCAAACTGCATTCATTTCTCAGTATAGGTGTACTCATACTTAATCCCTCAAACTACTTACAGCACTGAAAAAGCCTGATAGTGGGTATCACCAAAGTTCCAAATTGAAAATATCCTCCTTTTTTCAGCCTCCAGATTAAGAATGTTAGATTAACCTTGATGCTTCTGGAGCAACCCTTCCCTAGCCAAAGATGTTATTATATAACAGCATACCTTAACTGGAACACTGATTCCTGTTTTTAAATAATCCTCCTCTACTGTTTTGTAGTCTTGCAAATTTACTACCTCTTTGTGCAATAGGCATGTTCCTGGCAACGTTAAACAGCAAGAGTCCCATGTCATGACAGTTTATTGGCTGGGGAAGGGAGGGGTGACCCATTCATGCGGCACCTGTAGCTGGGAAAAGGAAGCTGATCTTGCCCTCCTAGATCTCCAGTATGTTGCTACACATAGAGAGAACAAACACAACTTTTCCTCCAGTTGCCAACTGCAGTCAGATGCTTTCTGGTTGCCTCCCCCTAACTTGAAAGCCATCTTCTGGGAGTGAGAGGAACATGAAATGGCACATGTTTTGCCCACACTATGTAAGTTTGCAACCCAAAAATGTTTTCTCGTTGTTCTTGATCAATCTATCTTCACAAGTTTTAGATCTTTGTCAATGGCACTACCAGGGCTGGTGTCACGCAACACAGAACAGACACAGACTAAATGTAAATCACCTGTAGATCTTGGCTGCAGATCTTTGAGGGCTCTGATGCCCTCCTACAGCCTTTTTCTGCTGCAGAGCTTCCCACTGAACTCTGTTTACTCCCATGGTTGGGTCAACCCCTCTGATGGCATCACCTGGTGTGGGCCACAACCTCTGTACCTCCCTAATGAAGTCACTGGTCTCTGTGGCACTGTATGCCACTGAACCTGTAGATGAGCATTTCTGAAACTGCTGAGCAGGAATAGACACTCTGTGCTCTCTGATCAACATCTGAAGTGTTGCATAAGTCACAGAAATTACATATGGTCCATATGGAGAAATATCATAACTGGGTGTGGTTAGATAGAAAAGAGCTTTAAATCATTCCCATCTGGCATTTATAACTCAAATCTAGCCTCTGATAATGCCATAAAGACATGTGACATCGTGCTCTGTTTGGCTCGTCTCATGGTTTTGGGAGTTGCAATACAGAAACTGTATTTACTGTCCCATCATTTGTTTGGGCACAGGTTTAGTTTCATGCATCTAATGAGGAACAACAATCTCTATACATATTTAGTTGGGCACACATTATGCAAATACATTTAGCAAAGCTCATAATTCTTTACAAAGATGACCTAGCACTGCACAAAGATACATAGAAAGTAGTCATATTTGTATAGGGTATCACTTGTGGCCATGTATGATTGTCATCAAAGAGTAGAGTCTTGGTGGTGGGTCCATACGTGACTCAATCTGCATGGTCTGTGACTGGATCTGCATGGTCTTTCGCAGGTGGGAGGCAGTCCCATTTCTCAGTATGACATGCCTTCATCTTATAGTGACAGCTCCCTGGCTCTTCTCAGTAGGCCCTCCCATCCATTCCCATCTGTGAATTGGTACTTACTCACTTAGGTGATTCCTTATAGCCTGAAGATGACGGACCTTCAGGTGTCATGTGACTGTGAAGCCCTATTCTTGATCTGCATGCTCCCCCACAATGACTTGGCAGCCCAGTTAACTTGTTACTCACGTAGCCATCTTCTCCAAGTGCATCCAAGACAGTGTGATGGAAAATGGCCCCTTACTGAACAAGGAGACAGAGAAGCAGCAAGTCCAGGACATGCACGCTAGCAGGCATCACACATACTCTCACATGATACCTGATTTTCCTAATGGTATGAAATTCTGTAGCTTTCGTGTTTGTTGCATTTACTAGAATTAGGTAGAGCAAGCATCTATCAATTTTCTTATCCTTTACAACCTTCCAAGACTTTCCCCCTACCCTTTCCACATGGTAATGTGTCACATAGTTTTCCTAATGGAATCAATTTCTACTCATTTTTATTAGGGTAAGCACTTTAAGGCAATTTCCTCCATTGACTCCTGTGCATTTACATGCATGTTTCAACTACAGCCAGCCTTATGTATCCATGGATTTAACCATCCATGGATTCAACCATCCACAGCTTGGATTTTTTTAAAAAAATACAAAAAGTAAACCTTGATTTTGCCACATTATATAAAGGGCACCTTTCTACTACACTATTGTATATAATGAGATTTGAGAATCCGCAGGTGGCTCTGGAACCAAATTTCAGAGGATAACAAGGCCCACTGTACACACATTTCTAGTCATGGCTTTTTGTTGTTGTGTGCCTACAAGTCATTCTAACTTATGGCAATCTTAGGCAAATCTATCATGGGGTTTTCCTGGCAAGATTTCAAAGGCGTGTTGCTTTTTCCTTCAACGATTTGGTTCCATCTTTTACCTTTGGCCCCACTCACCACTGAAACATGTCTAAATTGTGTCTGACTTTGAGGATTTGTTTCAATTGCTCTCTTGGAGCCTAGCCTGATTCTAAGTGTCTGGCCCATCTTCTCTGGTCCTTAAAGCAAGGAAGTGGGGATCTCAAGATCAAAACTGCCTTGAATAGTATGTGTACATATGTATTCTTCATTTATTAATCTCAATTATTTTTAGCCCTGGGCAAGAAAATTGAATGATGTGCAAATTTTCAATTCACACAGAACAGCAGCAGCTTCCTACAATTTCATTTCCTGTTGCAACTTGCAAAGACTTTCCAAAGAACCTATGTATTTACTTTGCCAGCTCTCTTCTTCCTTCCTAGTAGTTATGTGCCAGGGCTGTAAACACGTAGGCTAGTTCACATGTTCTCTCAAATAAACAAAAAGGGATATTTGGCCATTTCATCCTGATCTGGGAACTTGTTCTTTAGCCAGTATTTCTGCCATTATTTTGAAACAGGAAAATCTGTTCTTTATGAGTGTTGTGGTCAGTACTTTATTATTGCAATGAATGTGATGATTACAGGAATGGAAATATGGACGACGAATTGGATCACGACTCTAGTTATGAGATGTATTACGCTGTCTTATTGTTATGTCAATTTTGTATACTATGCTCTTATGGTTTTAAATTGTTTATCACTGATTGTTTTTTATCCTTGTTGTAAACCGCGTTGAGTCGCCTGTTGGGCTGAGAAACGGCGGTATACAAGTAAAGTAAATAAATAAATAAATAAATAAATAAATAAATAAATTGTGACATCACAGGGTCTCAGGATTTGACTTTGAAATATCAAGGTGTGAGATAATATCCTGGTAACACCATTCCACACCTTTGATTTGATAGGTTTTCTGCATCCAGTGAGGAGTTTGACAGGAATTTGTCACATGGATGTGTGTTATTTTCTAAAAAGTCTGTAACACCACCTGGTTAATCCTGCCCATCATTTTCTGTCCTCATTTACTCTTCTTGTTCCCAGTCCTTTCATTTCTTATATCAATTTGTTGGGTGGGTGATTCACTCTTGTTTCTCATCTATCATTTGTCTATGGCCAGACTCCTTGTGCTTTACACATGTTCCCCTATGAAAGCTGTTGGGCATTTATTTTGCCTGATGTGGAATATTCATACTCAGTTTAAGGCTGCAGAAGTGGAATTTGTGACATTGTAGTGTCATTGCACAGGCAAATGGTCAATGCATGTGTGTATTTAGAAGTGCATTTGATTGTATGGTCACTTGCACAATGTTGTCATTCAATATAAGGGTTTCATAGCACAATCAATGCCCACCTCCTCATGCAGGGTTTTATGCTATGCAGTCCAGATGCAGGATCTTGGTTTATTATTTATTTATTTATTTATTTAAACATTTTATATACCGACCTTCTCACCTCTCTTGAGGGACTCAGACCGGTTTCCAACCATAAAGTGCATACAGTCAATAAAAACATCATACTTCATATTCCAATAAAACACTAAAATATTAAAATAGCAAAACAGCAATTACATTCAATAAATACAATGGTCAGTCGTCCCACTATGCCTTTACACATGTGCATATTCACAGTTGCAACAGATATTGAGCCAGCAGCTGGGCTACTCGAACTCTCCATTGTTTGACTCTAAGGACTTCAGTCTGGAAGGATTGGGAATCAAGGATCAGGCTTATGTATCTTTAACCCCGGAGTTGTCAATAATGTGCTCAATTAAGAAAAAGAAAAAGCAAAGAAATGACATGACTCAAAATTCAAAGTGGCATGATGAATTTATTTATTTAGAATTATGCCTGAATCTCTGCCTAGACCTGCAGAGGGTGAAAGTGACTTGTTTTCCAAGGCACTAACCAGTTCATGCGTAAATCAGGAAATTCCTGTAGAAGAAAAAAAATGAAAGAACGTAAGTCATGGGAACCCTCCCCCACTTTTTTCTTTTCTTTCTTTTTTTTTTTTTGCAGGGAGGGAGGTGGTAATTAACTTTATTTTAAAAGTTTGAAAAGTAACATTAAAAGTCAAACAGTGACTCAAGGAAAAATATAGAGAAGAAACACACAAAAAAGAAAAGAAAAAAAGAAAAGTATTCAATCTAAATTCACTTCACACCCATTCCTTTGGGTACTTGACTTAATTGTCTTTAGATTTTAAAATACAAAGATTACTAAGGAGACAGAGCTTGGAAAATGAGTGTTTTAGCTAGCACATCGGTGTTCATTTCTAGACCAATTCTTATCACATGGAACTTGCAAAGGACAAGCTCATTTCCATATCTTTAAACATTTATTGGCTTTATGAGCTCAAATTTTCAAATGCCACCCTGAAATGCCAATGAGGACTAGCTTATTCTCCCCCCCCCCATCCCTTCCAGCCCCATGAACACCTCAGCCATTGAAATTGCCAAGAAAGAGGGATTTATTTCACATTTGCACTACTTTGCAATATATGGTATTTCTTTGAAGGTCATGGTTTAGCCTTATTTGTTGTCACACCATTATCTCCTGCAAGAATTAGACTGTTTCTACACCAGTCATTCTTAAATTGTGCCCCTGGGGTTCTGCATGACATATCAAGGGGCTCTATGTTTTCCTTCTCCTCCTCCAAGGGCATGGACCTTTCTCCATTCCCCCTCTCTGCCCTGATTCTTTTCTCTTCACTCTCACCCCCTGTATCTTTTCCTTTTGTCCCCATGCCACCCAGACCCTTTACTCTTTACCCCCAAACCCTTTTCCTGTCATCCTCTCACTCTCTAGACCAGTAGATCTCAATCTGTGGGTCCCCATATGTTTTGACCTTCAACTTCCAGAAATCCTAACAGCTGATAAACTGGCTGGGATTTCTGGGAGTTGTATGCCAAAACACCTAGAGACCCATGGGTTGAGAACAATAGGCTTAGACCCTTCTTCTTCTCCTTCTTCTTCTTGTTACAACAGCTGGATGGCCATCTATTGAGGGTGCTTTGATTGTGCTTCTACTGTTGACACAAACACTCGCCATCCATATGCCACTGGCCTGGCCCATCTCTCAAATTTTAAAATACAACGCTGCCCCTATGGCCAAAAGTTTGTCCATGTCAGATATATATACATTATATAATATATAACATATGCTATATAATATATAATATATGACATAAACATTTATTGGGGCTCCAGAAGGAACTCTAGCTTTAAAAAGAGCTCTGTGACTGAAAAAGTTTGAGAACTCCTTCTTTATAATGTAGAAATAATGCAATTTGACGTCACTTTAACTGCCATGCTCAATGCTATAAAATCCTGGAATTTGTAGTTTAGTAAGGCACCAGCACTCTTTGGCAAAGAAGGCTAAAGATCATATAAAAGTCCCCTGATTCCATAAACTGAGCCATGGCAGTTAAAGTGGTGTCAATACTTCAGATGGACCTTATGCCAGACATACAAGAAAAGGGCTATTTCACGACATCAGCTTATGTTGGAATATAAAAATCATCATGTTTCATGTCCCTAGTTGTCTTGGTTATATTGTGCAAAGCAGAAAAATTGCACCCAAGCAAATGATGTAAAACACATGCCCTTATTATAATAGTTTACCTTGTGGATTTCTGCAAATCTTGCCACAGTTAAAGTAACAGCATTTTTTCCTTCCTTCACAGTTATAGTCATTGTTACATGAGTTACGTCCTAGTATGGTGCAACGGAAGGGATTCCGGGGGCAAATCCCAAATTTCTCTGGAATAGGATAATAGCAGAAATATTTTCACTTAGATTTTTGATTATTTGATTATTATTTCTTCTCCTCTTTCCTGCCAAATTAATCCAAATTATATGGCAGCCAATGGATTAATAGACTTGTTAGGAACTTTTCTAACTTAGGAACTCTTCCTTTCACTAATTCTACTCCATAAAGTAGAATGTTGTATTCAATGTTTATCTGTTTCTTTCTATCTTTTTCCTCTTCTTTCATGGCATAAAGCAGCTTACAATAACTTAAAATGGAAGCTGAGAATAAAATAAATCCTGCTTAACAAACATTTTTTAAAAAAATCAACAATTCTCTTCAAAAACTCAAAGGTTTTAATAGTTTAAACATAATAAAACATCATTGAATAGTTTGAAGAGGTTACTTTGTGGACTACAAATATGAGAATACCATCAGCACTGCTTCCGTTGGCTTAAAGTATCTGGGTGTCTTGTCCAAAAACAATTTTTTTCGGAGCTCTGAGCCAGAACTGTCAGAGACTTTGGAATCTTGGCCATTGGAAGCTGAGCAGCCCAATGTAATTAGTACTGAACTGGCTTTTTAATTTTAAATATGTACATTGTCACATAGTACTGTGTTTATACTTTTTATAATGATTTTCTGTATGTTTTTTATGTTGGTAATTGCAGTGCTTTACCATGTTGGAAACAGCCCTGAGCCCCCCTCGGGGAGATAGAGTGGTATACAAATAAAGGTTTATATTTATTTATTTATTTATTTATTATTTGAAACACAACAAGATTATACCACAGCAAACAAGATCACTATTCTGGTTGTTGTATTGTATCACACATCCCAAGTGTCTAGGATTATGTGATGTATCAGCGAATAAAGTGTGCAGATTCGAGTAGGGTGGCCTTTTGCAGCTGACAGATGGTAATTTTGTCAGTGCTGATTGTGTTTAAGTGCAGGCCAAGGTCTTTAGGCACTGCACCCAGTGTGCCAATCAACACTGGGACCATCTTGACTGGCTTGTATTATTATTATTATTATTATTATTATTATTATTATTATTATTATTATTATTATTATATCAATTGATTGAATAATTTTCTCCACTTCTAAGGACATCCATTCAAATTGCATACAAATGTAGAATTATTCCAAAGTTTATAAAAATTCTTTTTTGAAATATAATTCACAGAATCCCTCAACCAATTAAATATATATTTTCTTCTTGATCAGATGTTGAACCATCTTAGATTTGTTTGGAAACTTCTGAGCTCTTTTTAACACAAAGTGCTTCAGATGTTATTGTTAAAATATCGTCCTTACACTTAGTGAAGATTTGCTCTGAGTAACTATTCAGGTGCTTTTTGAGTTTTTCTCTGCAGATTTCCCTCATAATTCTTTGAATTGAAATTTTCCTGTATCTTATAAATTCAGTTGAAGATCATTGGAAATGTGGTACTATAGGAGAATTCTGTGAATACTATGGACTATCAAAAAGACAACTAAATGACTCTGAATGCTCCTTAGAAGCCAAGAATACTAATCTGAGACTGGCATTGGACATACCATGAGAAGATATGACCTATTAGAAAGTACGGTAATGACCGACAAGATAGATGGCAATAAGAAAAGAAAAAGGCCACGTTACAGATGGATATACTCAATCAAGGAATCCACAGTCCAGAGTTTCCAAGATTTGAGCAACAGAAAGTGTTGGAAGTCTCCATAAGTCAAAGCTGACTAGATGACAGTTAAAAATAACATCTTAGTAACCCAGTTCAAGCCTTGATGCTTTCTTACCTCGTGGAATTCTCACTGCAATTGTTGAGGGAAATTCCATCCAAAGGGCTAAAAGCCCGACAAGGAGACATGCAGTCAAAGTCTTCATGGCTACTTCAAGGAACACATCTGTGTATCAACAACTGAGCAAGCCTGGTTTTTAAAGGATGCATTCTAGGGATGACCTGCTAGATCGTAACTTTTCTCCTCTTCATCAAACCAAATGTTAAGTGCGCTTCTGATTTCAAAAGCTGCATTGCCCCATCTTCACAGAATAAATGGCACATTGCAAGAACAGAGAGAATTACATTCCCAAGATGTGTGCACACCCAGCTTCCCATACAATGATGTATCCTTCAAAGAAGATCATTGTGCTACACTTAAATTATAGCCATACGCCGTAACATATGAGGAAAACCAGCTACCCCATTATGACAACTGGGTGGAGCTTGTATCATACACAGAGCAAAAATGAACTCCACCCACATTCTTACCAACACTGAGAACAGTAGGAAACAAATGTGTCAGCCGTATCATCTTTTAAATGTTCTAGCAATATTTGAGTAAAATATATCTGAATATAGAGGGTATGGTGGCACAATGGGTTGAACTGCTAAGCTGCTGAACTTGCTGACTGGAAGGTTGGCAGTTCAAATTCGCAGTACGGGGTGAGCTCCCACTGTAAGCCCCAGCTTCTGCCAACCTAGCAGTTTGAAAACATGTAAACGTGAGTAGATCAATAGGTACTGTCTCAGCGGGAAGGTAAATGGAGCTCCATGCAGTCATGCTGGCCACATGACCCAGGAGGCATCTACAGACAACGTAGGCTCTTTGGCTTAGCAATGGAGATGAGCACCATCCTCAGAGTCGGTGCTGAGCTCCATCCCTCAGAGACAGAAGGGAAAACGGTTACCTTTATCTGTGTTCTGTTGTTTCTAGGCATTGAATGTTTGCCTTTGTGTTTGTGTATGCTGGAACCCACTCTGAGACCCCTTGGGGGGATAGGGAGGCATACAAATAGATTATTATTATTATTATTATTATTATTATTATTATTATTATTTAAAATAACCTATGGGAATGTGAGAAAGGAGATGCAGACTATGGGAATGTGAGAAAGGAGATGCAGACTACAAATACCCAGATGTTTCAGCCAGCAGAGAACTGGTCATGTTGGCCAGGGGCTTCTGGAAGGTGTAATCATAAAAGGATTTGTCTGGATTCCTGATTCAACAGCACAAAAGAAAGCCCTTTATGCAATTGGGAGCCATGTACAGAAAATTAACATGAAAGGAGTTCAGTCCAAATTGGTAGCAGTTCATGGAAGCTGGCAATGTGAAAGAAACCATAGCATGTTAAACTTTATCTAAAAAGAATGGAGAACATTTTTTCATCTTTAAGGTCCTAACTGAAAAAAAAATCAAAATGAAATTGTTGCTAATCCCACTTTGCAGTGGCCATCCTACTTGTGCAAGGTCCCTAATAATTCAAAGGAAACATCTTATGTGCCACTGAACCAGAGAATCCAAACATTATTTCTTTGGACTGCATATCCCAATACTGTCCAGTAAGCATAACTAGCGATCAGGAAATTTCTGGAAGTTATAGTCCAAAAAAGTAATTTCGCAGTCTTTTCTGAACACAAACAGCTTCCCACTTCAGCCCTCTCCAGAACTCAGAAAAGTTACTTTTGGAATACAGATCACAGAATCCCTTAGCCAGCACTAGGAAATCTGGGAAGTCTATTTCCAAAAAGTGTGCTCTCTAGTTCTTGCACTTCTGAAGGTCAGTGCTTGAGTGACAGAAATAATAATACAGGAGACATTGTGTATGGCCCCATAAATTCTTTGGAGATGTGGAGGGTAACTTCTGAAGGAGGTTTTAATGACTTCAGTTCTGGGCTGCTGTGGATCTCCAGATATTATTAGATTCCATCTTCCATCTGTTCCAGACTATATAAACAGTGATCAATGATGGTGGAAACTAGTTTAGACGTATCCCCAGGACTGTGCATTCCCAACATCCAAGTTTAATTGTAACTGGTCGTCTGCTGTGCTCTTTACACAGGGACAATTTTGGAAGCTATATGGAACAACTGGAGCATTGGAATGGGGCTGAGCACCAAACCAGTCTAAAAATACTTGACCTGGTCTAGTTTCAGGGATGAAAGAGTTCAATTAATATTGGAAAGGAGACCACCAGGAAACACAACCAGAGTCTTCAGGCTGCAAGAAGAAAACAGCCTATTCAAAGGATTTCTGTGAGTTTTCCGGGCAGTATGGCAATGTTCCAGAAGAAACCTCTCCATTCTCTTCTGGAACATGGCCATACAGCCCAGAAAAATCACAGCAACCCAGTGATTCCGGCCATGACAACACAGCCTATTCAAACCTTGGAGACATATCAGAATTGACAACATTGAGATGGATAAACCAAGAGTCTGAAATGCTACCAGAACTTGAAAATCTCTTCTTTACAAGTAATTGTTTCCACTAAAAATAATTACTCTGTAAAAGTTGTTATTTCCAAACTGGAAAAATCTGCCACAAAATATCCTGATACAGGATTCTTCATGTTCCAAGGAGGTTAAAATCTCTACAGTATCAGATTACCTTGTTCCAGTGGTATTTTAGGCAGGGCAAGAAGGATTCCCTGATATTTATGGAGCTATTTACATACATACCTGTGGAAAATACTGAGCCACTTTTGGAAGAAAAATGGATGATGATGAAGATAAATAAGAAGAAAGGAGAACCACATTTGGCATAGAAATGGCTTTTGCATCCTAATTTCTGCCATGTCCACTAGCACATGCCAAATGTGATTTGATTATCTTTCTTTTAATGAAAGTGAAAAATAAAAAAAATAATTGCATAGAGAGCGTCGAGAATAATTGATTGGTTGCTAGTTGGTTGGGTGAGTGGATATCTAGTTTAAAAGATTAATAAAGATATTTACTTAAACAATTCATATGTGGTTTACAACGAATTATAATACAAATTGTGAAAAGGACAATAAAGCTGGAATTACAACATCCCATAGAATAAGGCTTGAAGGACCTTTAAGTAACTTATTAATTGCAATCAGCCCTAATGAACAATTAGGTTTTTGATCAATGTGAAAGCAGATAATTGTTTACACTTAGTGTATTGTAAGGGTACAGGGGTGTGTGTCTCATAATCTAGATGGTTGGCACCACTACAAAGCAACTCCGCAGGATGGCACAAACAGCAGGGAGCCTCCCTTATAAATTATAGTAGTCAGCATATGCTTACAGTAAAGGTATTTATACATTAAAATCTGCATACCAGGAGAAACTGCAAACCAAAATACAAGTGCACATTTATCCTTTTCTTTCTTATTTAAAGACACAGTCTACATGGGAATTAGATTAAATGGGTTTATTAGTGAAAGCCTATTAAAAGGATACTGAGCAAAAACATGGATTCAATTATGTTTACTTAGAAATGAATCTGATACTTCAAATCTTCAAATCATATTTTCTTCTCTGGGATGCATGGGGGATGCCTGCTGAGTATCTAGTGTGGAAAAGAAAGCACTTTCCACTCACTCAGAGGCTTTCTCACACTCTTCTTTTAAATGGGTCCATCAAGTTTAACACTTACATGTTTTGTTCAAGAATTTCCACCCAAAGTCTTCTCATTTATTGCTCTTATTTTTGCCATCACTACTACACATAATCCCTTTCTAAAATGTATATGGCTCTAGGAGCATTCGTATAGGTTTCAAAATGGAGCAAGAGACAAAGAGCAGATTGTTGCAAAATAAGCAAATGTTCATAAATGTTTATTCACACCATACACTTTAGGTTTGAGTTTTCTTTCTCTGTTTGTTCTTCTGTTAAGGCCGAAATGTAATTTATTTTCATTTTGTGAAATATATGAATTACTTGATTCAGGGCTCCCAACAATATGTCTATACAGCTTTGGCTCTCTGGATTTCTTCTCTTCTTCCCCTGAGTGAGGCTGAGAGGGGAATGTGTGTGGCATGATCAACCAACACCATCCATTCCACATTATGAGGATTTAATGCTCCATTCAGTATTTCACCTGTGAAAACAAGGATTGTTCTAAATGTGGATGAAAAGTCTATGGCTCCAACTTTCTATGAGGACCGGCCAGCTCCTTTCACAGGCTCTCATTCATCAACAGAGTCAAAAACTCCAATTGTCCCAGACCTTGGGGTATAGGAACAAGAAGTTGGATAGGGGAACTAGTTTATTTCCCAGCCTTTCCCAAGAGAGGAAATTTCAGCTAAATTTTATGAAGCAGGCCTCTCAGATATCTCTGAAATGGAATTTAGGAAAATGACTTATTCTGAATCAGACTACTGAGCAATTTGGTCCAACATTGTCAACTTTGACTGGAAACAGCTGTCTGGGATTTTGAGCAAGATTTTCCTCTTAGTCTCTCGCCCAAGTATTAACTAAGCCTTTCACTGCTTAGCTTCCAAGTCAGACAAAATTTTGCTAAGGATAAATCAGGGTTGTATGTGTTAAAGATGGTCATTTTTCTATGAATTCTGTCTACACATGCATACACATTTGTGATGACACATCATGTATACATTTATTGGGGGCATGTTGTGCTGAGTTCAGGAGAACCTCAAGCCGTTTGACAGAGGGACAAGCTTCATCAGAAAAAGAAGAGACTATCAGAGATTCTATAGGTTTCTTAGCTCAGCGGGGGATTAGATTAAGTGAGCTTTTGGGGTTTCTCAAAACACAATTGAACTTCAAATGTTAAAGGCAAAATCACTTAGCTCTGGGTTTTTGTTTTGTTTTCTGCTGTCAAATTCATATAGACCAATTCATGTTATTTTCTTGAAATGGCGAAATTTCCTTTCAGTCATTGTAGAGACACCCCACAGCTATTGCAATTGGATTGTAACTGCCACATCAAAAGCTAGAGAAACTTTCAGTCCTTCAAATGTTGTTATAGCATACACCATCCATGAGTCCAATTATTAGGGATAGCAGTAGGTGGTCATCTAGAGGAACACAATTTCTCCATACTTGGCAGAGTAAGACCATCAGGCAGAGTATCTTCTACAAGGTACTACCATAGCTAAAACAATAGTTACCATTCGTTTTCATTGGAGATTTACTTATCTGTATAATCAGAAAGTTCACCAATAGTTGTTGTTTCATCTTCATAACATGGCAATACAGCTTCAAATGGCTGTTTGCAAAAGCATTTTCAGGTGAATGTAGGAAAGCTTGTGTTTTTGCATGAAAAATAAGTTACAATAGATGACTCCATAAGAAAGCAGTTAGATCCATTTCAGACTACAAAAAACGCCTTGAACTCCTCTAGTTTAAAACATGTTATTCCTCCAGGATGTTTTTATGACCTCATC